TACATATTGGCGAACTGGCATACTTTCAATAAAATGCTTGTCAACAGCTAAATTGCCACAAAACCCTGAAAGTAACACTGACTGACACTTAAATGAATAAAGTACAATGATAATAATAATAATAAACTATCAGCATTTGTTTTGGATACATCAGCAGAAACACTCCAGTCGACTGGTTTAAATACTGGATGCTACAAGAGACTCAGCAGGAAACATTGACATTTCCAATATACCGCCCCATTCAAATATGAACTACAAAAGTGGGTTCCCAGAGGCACCTTTGAAGAAGCCTTCATAAAGCAAGATTGTGCTTCATCTCCATCAGTTATATTTGCTGAATAGATCTGTGAAGAATATTTATTAAATGTAAATACTCAAAAAGGTATATTATACAAACGTGCTATTTTTTTATTAAGACCTGGTGGCCTTGGGATATCACTGTATTACGATGCAATATAATTTGCATGTTGTCTACTATATGAAAGAAGTAATATATCACATACTGTTCAAATGTCACGCACCTCAAGGGAATTCACATTCCATCAGTTTTACAGATGTGGAACTTCATAGATAGAGAACACGTTGTGAGTTACAAGAGCTTATCAGGGGAGATGACATTAGACTCTTCAAAGGAATATTATTGCTGTCTCTCATGCACATTTCTATTCTTTCTGCTGTGCTCAGGAAGAATGAATGAGATGAATATGAGTAACTCTCCTTATTTTCCTTTATAGACACTATCTGCTATGTTTACTTATCTGCTTGTCCTACAGACAATTGAGCCTCTACTGCGTGCACTAGGGAAAACAAGATGTTCAGGTACGATCCCTCCTCCCAAAGAAATGACAAAGTAAGGAAGAAATTGTGACACAGGCATTGAAACAGCAACAACGACAACAACTGTTTTATATGGTAGAAAATGGCGAGAGCCCCGAGAAGAGAAAGGTCAATTGCCACAGAAGTTTAGAGACACGGGAGTTTCCTCTGGCTGAAAAAGTAAGGTCCCATGGAACAGGCAGTGATTAAGAAGGGCTTTGAAAGGCCCCAGACAAGAGGCCCTTCAAGGACCAAACCCCTGTTTGCCGCTCCAGCCGTTTTCCCCAGCCTCATTCACACCAGCCTCAGCCGCGATGAATTTCTTTTCTTTCCTTCATTGAGTCCTGCTTCCTGAGGCCTCTTCAGACCTCTGGCTTTACTTGTGGGCCTTCCTTCTTCCAGGCAGTTTCTCCTCCGAACTCCCAAAGCCTACCCCCTCCCCTGGCCTGTTAACTCATTCATCCTTTGGGTTATGAGCTTAAAGCGCCTTCTCTATGTAGCTGCAGCCATATGCCCTTCAGAATGGATATGGTGCTTCACTTGTTCTCCTTTGTTCTGCTAGCGACGGTGGTACTAGAATTCTGCTCTACTTTCTCACTTCTTCCCCAATACTCCAAGAGGGACTACAGATGCCTTCTCGAACGTCAGGTTAATAAATATGAAACTCATTTTGTAAGCAACAGTATGCAGTAGAAAGGTTCTAAGTAAGGGCATGAAAGGATCTTAGCTATATTTTAGGAAGATCATCTGAGAGAAATGTGAGGTTCTATTATCAAAAGAGTTGATATGATTGTGCAGGAAATTTTGTGGATGAAAGATTATATATTAAGTTAAAAAAAGCAGTTTATAAAACTGTATGTAGGGCTTCCCTGGTGGTGCAGTGGTTGAGAGTCCGCCTGCCGATGCAGGGGACACGGGTTTGTGCCCCAGTCCGGGAAGATCCCGCATGCCGCGGAGCGGCTGGGCCCGTGCGCCATGGCCGCTGAGCCTGCGCGTCCGGAGCCTGTGCTCCGCAACGGGAGAGACCACAACAGTGAGAGGCCCACGTACCACAAAAAACAAAAAACAAAACAAAAAACTGTATGTATGTAATATAACCCCACTTGATGTATACAATATATTGAACACTCGTGTGTGTGTGTGTGTGTGTATCAATATGAAAAAGTCTGGAAGGATACACACTACAAGATTTAGAATACTTGATTATCTCTGAGTAGTATGAATATAATTTCTTCCTTTTATTTACCCACATTTTCTACTTTTCTCCTATCATATCTATTACTTCTATTAAAAAATATTTTTTAGGGCTTCCCTGCTGGCACAGTGGTTGAGAGTCCACCTGCCGATGCAGGGGACACGGGTTTGTGCCCCGGTCCAGGAAGATCCCACA